CTTGAGCCGGTGAGATTAGAACCGCTGAACTGCAGGTAACAGTCAGCTGAAGTGGCCTGCAGTACTGCACCCTAACCACTGCGCCACCTCGGCTCATGATAATAGCAAAAGTTGCTGGCCCCAATTATGCTAACTAAATAAGAACTACCTGTAGTTGGCAGTATGATTAGTTAGCATGAAAGATTTACTTCCCAGCTTAGGATGGGGCGCAGACAATTTAGTTCACATTAAGTATTTTTCTTTCCTGGTGGGACCGGTCTATCAGGGTAACCTGGTCTACCCAATTATGGGACAGAGCATACTGTTTTCATTTTCACCTTTCAGCTCCAATTCAGGAGCCTTTGCAGGCAGTCGTTTTGAAACATAAATTTAAAACATAAAACATACATTTAGTTCACATTATATTAACTAACCTAGTTAATTAATTAAACGATTACATTATTATACATCAGTTTCCACAGTTTTTCCTCTAATCAAAACATGATGGGAAAAGTGAGCTGAAGGGGTCACTTAGTTCATCTAGTCCATTCTGTGCTCAGTGTTCCTTTCCTTTGCTTGAGCACATTTTGTGAAGGAAAAATCACCACTATCCTTGATAACCAGCTACCTTCCTTAATATTGGAAAAAGCACAATATACCCTTTTGTAACATAAAAGCATTATTTCAGTTCCTGTTTTCTGGAAAGAGTCTTTATCTTTTTGTGTGTGACACTAGACCTGAAAATTTCTATTGCTTCTTTTCTTGGTCGATTATCCTGAAAAGAAAATATGCCTTGTTCTCTCACTCTCTTATCTTTATAAGGGCTTGTTTATAATCCCTGAACATCCTCTTTGTTTTTTCTTTGCACCAGTTCCAGTTTTCTTAAAATGTGGTGCTCAAAACTGGAAGCAGTAACTAAGAGAGACTCTAATCACTTCCAAGGAGAGAGGAAAGAATATTTCCTTTTGATTTGGGAATTCACTGATGCAGTCCTGCACTTGTTCTTCTCTTTTAGCAGCCATGTATGTGGATTTATTTATATCTTGGATTATTTTCAGATGAAATACAATTTCCAAATATATTTCACACACACTGTTATCAAGCCATCCCTATCCTATATCTGCTTTCCTTTTTTAAAGTGAAA